GGGGAGGAGTGCTGAATTAATTTAAACACAAGCCACTTTACTAAATTGAGAAATCACAGTTTCTTTAGCAAAGTTCGATATTTGAAGTAAAACCCAGCCACGACAGTTTAGTTCAGGCAAGTCGACAAGACACTTAACTACACACAGACTGACAAGAGCACAGAGCATGGATGCTCATTGAGTAGAATATGAGACGAGAAGAGGACTGTGGTCATAGAGTAAGATGGTCGCTTTCTCTTAGCCCATTCTCTATTTGACCTTCTTCGTTTCTCTTGCCAACTTTCATATATCCGACAAATGCCATGTCTTTTCATATTGACGTATATTAGCCACATGATGCCCAGTAATGAAGGTCCATTTAGACCACGTTTCTTAAAATGCCGCAAATGATACACTGATGGGAATGGCGAGGTAGCTGAGGATTGGAAATCGAAAAGTGGGGCTAGAAAAGCAGTTCAAAGTCCTATAACAAATAAAATAAGAGGGGGGGGGGGAGGGAGGAAGAGTGATATGAACACTACTTTGGGTAGGACAAGGACTCTTCTCCTTCAGCTAGTAGGCCGAAAAGAAATGCAGATAGAAGGAAAGTTCATTGTGGGTAGAGAATCCAGGAATACTAAGCCTGGAAGTTGTGGAATAGTTAAAATTGGGAAGATCGACACATGGTTGATACATAATATATATGCGGTGATCACTACTTCTGATGCATACAAAAGAGCACACGCTTTGTGATTATATTTTATGAAATCAGACAAGAATTTGTTGATACAAGTGACGAATACCAATTTTCATACTTACAGAAGTAGAAAGGCAAACATAAGTTTCTTTCTCAAGATAAGTACTAAATGGCAACTTTAAGATAGATACACAACTTACCCCGGAAGGAGCAGGTATCGAAACTATGACATTTTCAATGTAGGTGGCGAAATCCCCAAAACCGAAAGTAACGAAAGGAAGTTGGAGAGCACCGCAGCAAGAGGTGGAGACAAAGGAAGCACTGGAACCAATACGACCTCCCTCAGCACCCTGGGTTTCATAGGAAACGCGATATCCGTAACCCGGTAGTCCGTAGGGCAGAACACCATTAGGACATCGACCCGGACTTCCGCAGAGACCGGTTGCAAGCATAACCTGAGAGGAAGTGGAAGTAAATACGATAACAATCCCGCCCATATTGTAAGAGTGTCATTAACCAAAGCAACAACTTAGACCACCTATCATTTACTAGAATGCATTTAAAACCTCAATTTATTTACTGTGGGTCGATTGTGCAGCGATTTAGTTAACTTGCCCATAAGTCAGATGTCAAGTGTTCGACATCTATTGATGCACAACACATACAATGGAGCTAGGTGGTCAAACCACACTGACAGTGACTGAATGCGAGTTTCTTACCCCAGAGGCTCCACCATGCTACATCTCAACCCAACATAGCTGATATCAAAGCTGCAGCTACCACACCAGCTAAACGTACTAGTAAAATAGGGGAAATGATAGTCATCCATTTTTGGGATTCAAGTAATTTTAGATGCTAGCTTTCTTCCGCTAACAGACACGTTAGAGCTTTTTCTTGGCAACTGTAATATCAAAAGGCTATGTACAATAGTGGTAATACAAACAACAAACTGATCGTTTATATTGTTCAAATGGACTGCATGCCCCCCCCCCCCCCCCCCCCCCCCCCCCACCCCAAAGTCTAACTTGACGATAAAGTCTGAAACTGTTGTTTAAAATCGAGAATGGTGGTGGTTCATGACGAAGGGTAAATGGAGCAAATACTCAGGTAGGTCATTGTATGAAAATATGATCATACTCATTACCTAAAGCTGAAATAAACGTACATTTCAAAAAAACGTTAAGAGTGCGTATTCCCCATAAAAATAGTTGGCAAGATAAAACAATGCGCGAATTGTTCAAAGCGTAAACGATAACCATGCCTCCAATGAAAGGATTGGCCGGACTCACTTTAAGGAAGTATACTTCCTTGGTCATTTTCTGCATGTAGAGAGAAGTGACCGGTGTTTTGTCAGACCTTTGATGGGTCATAAATAGATCCAAAATGCCCTAGAGTGAAAGACAAAAAAACCATAAAATTACAAAAATTTTCGATTAGCTAGTCGCGTAAAAGAGCCCACTCAGCTTACATCTTCATTGTAATCGAAGAAGGCGATTTGCTTCAGGTTCAGTGCATTATCAACTTCAACCCCGGGTAATAAATAAGCCTGAAATTCGACCCGACCACCATTTGAACGAGCTGTATTTCGCAAGATGGCAGGCAGAACAATAGTATTGGAACCCTGGGAGTACTTCAGTCCCACTGCCAAGTCCGGAAAACCGTCCAAGTCAAAGTCACCCAAAGATGGACCCACAAGAAAAGAAGTGGAAAATTCTTTCGATGCGGCAGAAGCCAGAGACCAAGAGCCTTCCTCAAAGCCTACAGGTGTCAAATGTACTGCGACTGGCTTCCAATCCTCGAAAAGGAAAGAATAGTATAAAATGGAAGTATAATAGGAAAGTGGAGCAAAACCCTAGTTTTCTATCGCTTCCAGGACCCCCCCCCAGTATTAAGAAACCAACCATGAATGTTGGGATTATAAAAATGCATCACCCCAGGTCACTAAAATGTCAGCCCTATTGCACACGAAGTCAAAAGATAAAAAAGGGCTTAAATATTTTTATTCAAGTTTAGGAACAAAGAGCTGTATTTAGGACACATGTTTCAATTAGGTTCAACAGACAACTCATAAAAATATAGACTGCTAGTAGAGCGTGCTCTATGTCCTCAAAATTCTGATCAATTCGAGAGACTACGTCAAACACGATAAATGGCATATCCTAGTAGACTGTGGTGGTTCCACTAATGAAAATCAAGGTTCAAGGCCAAGTACATTCAAGCAGACCCGTATCTACGTGTCCAATGTCTTGTTACCTATCATAACTGGTTGCAGTTTCATTAATACTAATCAATACGTCCTGATATCGATCTCCGTTGGAACTAGACGCCCATCCACTGGAATCTACGTAAATAGAATCCAAATTTAACTCTCCAAACCAGAAATGTGTTAATTCCCCTTACTTTCGATATTCTCCTTTTAGGATTGTTTAAAACTCGGCAATAACTTTGGTCTAGCATTATCCAACGCCAGAATTTAATAATGAAAATGAGAAAGTTGATAACCGCCAATCTTACGAATCTATGCTGTTGCCAATGTTACTTCTTAACATCAAAGTAGCTAGAACTGATTTGTGAAAATAAATAACCGAAAGCCAAATTAGTAACCCAAGCTACTTTCAAATTACGATCAAGCAAAACGTAAGACTCTCACATATCACAAGCTCAGACAAACAGCTATTCGAAATCAATTAAATCTTTAGTCCTTATACCTGAAACATTCCACTTTCACACTTTTTAATATATGCTATACGTCTTCTACTTGATGTCAGCTATTTAAATGAAGGCAATAAAAATAAAACTCAATCTTATTGGAGAAATATGTGTTTTCAGCAAAGGAGAATAAAACGTCTTAAAGACCCATTAAACAAGACAGTATCATTCTCTCACCTCTCCATTAGACAGGCATTAATCAGCCCTGTTGAGCAATCAACAAGGGACATCGAAACGGCGGACTTAGATCGCTAAGCCAATCATACAAGTGATAGCACTTAAAAGAAATAGCTTACATCAAAAGAGCCCAAGGAGCTAATCCAAATTTTAGGTTTGCTGCAGTCTTTCGAAGGACAAGTCAATAGCAACAGCTGAATGTGGCTTGACTGGCCTGGATGGCAAAAAAAGAAATAAAAGTGTGAATGCATGCATGCTGAATAGGTCCGTATTACAGGATGAAAAAAGGACTTACTGAAATCTCCAAAGACGAATTTTCCGATTTCTCCTGCTTTTACATCGGGTGGAAGTGCAATATTTTTTGCTTTAGGAGATTCAATATTATTAGCAACGGCAAGATCACTGAACACTTCGATATTATTATTAGAAGTCAAGAGAACAAGAGCTGAAAAAAGACGAAATATAAGAAATTCACATTTATGATTAAGAGGAAAGAAGTTATCAGACCTACAAGGATTCATGGAGGTACCCAGAGAAGCAAAACCAGCATTGCCAAATAACTGAGAGGAAGGTTCAGTAAAATCTTGGCGAGTAGTAGGAAAAGATTTACTAAAATGAAAGACAAAAATAGTGCTTAACGTCAAAATGCATATGATTGTCATCGTGTTAAAAGCAGGCATTATAATTAAAGGGGCACTCTTCATTTTTATAGCCGAGGAACACATGGGTCAATCATTATGACGGTGTCAGCAATTCGGTCAGTGATGGTCGGGTCTGAGCACTACCTGCATCAGTTATGATGAGGTAACTTGAGATAGGACATACCTTCGACAAATAAGCTTTATCCCTTGAGCTCAGTATATATAATTAAAAGGGAGTGACAGATTTTCAGAAAAATCTATTATGGTGTTGATTTTAAGTATACAGACGTAAAGTAACGGCAAAAATACATATCTTTCTCATTCACCACTCTACAGCAATAAAAGAGTTGAGATTTTTCAAAACACCATGATCTCAAACACTGCGACATAAGCAAAAAAATTTTAAAAAAATATATTTAAGGAAAACAGTAGATAAATTGAAATCAACCTAATGAAAATCCATATTTCTGCCAGACTTCCAATTGCCAAGCTTCATCAGGTACATAGACATGCAAATTGAACTCATAAACGCCGACTTTGTAGACCTATAAACTTGCCGCGTGATACTAACTGGCAGGCTAATAAGGCGACGGCACACGGCGCGCATCGCATTTAAGAATTGATCACAAATCTCTTTTCAAAACAAAGAGATGATGACCGAAGAAGATTAGAAAAGGTAATATTTAGTTAGATTAGATCACGGTCCGATTTTTGACCAAAATTATTTACGATCAATAGCAACAATAACCTACCCGCCGTAGTAAATTACCCGTTTCGACAATTCATCCTCCCCGTAGATATCAGCCACCATATCAGCATTTGCATCGCATACTAATGGTTGACTTTTGAATTCTCCTACTTCAACTGTCTCTAAAAAAGAAAAGTATTGATGATAATGAACGGTACATTTAAATCAGCCGAGTAGAAATAATAGTAAAACTCTAGGGCCTTCAACGTTTTGACAAGTAAATCAATTATGTGGCTGTAGCCCGGAAATAATTTCATTTAAAAATTATTCGTTACTTCACTAAGATTTCAGCAGTAGGAGTTAAAAAAAGTTTCTCAGTTCAAACTGCTTTCTAATAAATACTTAAAGGTTCATTTAATGAAAAATAAAGAAAAAAACTACAAATCACATCCAACCACTCCTAAGATACAAGAAGGTACATCAACCAATCAAAATTAGCTCGAATAGACCCCGGCGTCAAATCAGGAGGAATAAGCAATACACAAGACAAATCATACTCCAATAACAATGCTTTCTGATTTCGAATAGGGTAAAAGCAGCAATGACTTGATCTCATAAGCGCCGTTTCATAACCTATTGCACTCGCCTGCGAATACGCGTATTTGAACGATTAGTTGCAAATGGCTTCTTCTATTGGCATGTGCAGTAAAAATGACAATCGAGTTCAAATCCCTCAGTTAGTGTTAGTTTTTAGGTCTTAGTTCCCAAAAGAGGAAAAAACTATCTTCGAGAAATTCTGAATTTTAATTCGCTGCGAAAAGATTAATGTTATGTATACCAACTAAGTAAAATGTGAAAAAAGGAAGAATATAGACACGGCTTTTATTTGATAATCTCTATTCTTACTCAATCATAACAATCTTTGCACGTGATGAGACTAAGAGAACATAATCCTGACTTTAGATTTAGAGCAGAAATAAGCCAATATTTTTAAGTCAGACTAAGTAACAGCTTGTCAAGTTTTAGTCTGAAGAGATTTTGAAAGAGAAATTTTAGCACGTCATTTGCTTGTAGGAATGTTATTATCATCATAAAAAATAAGAAGACAACTTACTATTAGTACCACTGAGCCAAACTTCGACATGGTATTCAGAACCAGAATAAACCAAGAGATAATCCTCTTTAGAATCTGCATTAAAATCAGCCACGGCGACACTGAGCAATTTTTTTTCACTGTCCAGGGAGAAAAGTTCCACTTGATTAAATTGGCCATTGGTATCCTTAGCTGTGGGTGCCATCAGAGCATAGAGTTTGTTAACACTAGGTTTCAGCACTACAGCATCAGTTCGTCTATCGGAATTCACATCCACAAAAGCGCCCAAATCAACTCCAGCCCATGCAGCAACCCTCGTAAAAGAAGAACCTGCGGGTCCATCTATGGGCATTGGGACAAAACCCCGAGCATCATATACCAGGAACGAGAAAGCCCAAATTAACCATGGATAAATTAACATGGTATCCTGCAACACAGAGAGGTATGAAGAGCATTTACTTTGAGATTCAAGAAGCTTTCTTACAAAAGACCAGAGAGTAGGCTAAGTAAATGCTTTTATTAATAACATGAGAACAGAAAGAAAGAAGTGCTCTAAGAGTTAGGGCCAAAGAACCGATTCCAAGCGAGAGCAAGAGTGAGAACAGTCAGGGCCCCATAGAGCACTAACCGTCGGTTGGATAACGGGAAGAAATTCTTAGCGGAAGAGGAATTGGAAGGGAAAGGATTCTGACCCGCAGCAGTGGCACGTCTTTCTTCGGCTTTTAGAAAGAGATTTGAGGGTGGGATTGCCAGATAGATATCAAGAGCACATTGAATAAGTTTCTCCACATCATGTTTCATGGGAAGATGCGTGAGAGCGTGGTGCAACTCCCCAAAATCATCGGAAGTTGAATCTATCTCTTCGGTACTGCAGATTATCACCTACCAAATGAAAGTAGATTTGAGAATGGTTAGGGGTAACGCTAGAAACACCCACGTAATACAGCAAACAGACTCTGTGATCGACATTGCTTATGTAGGTGATGGTTCAGTTCTTAATTGAGACAATCACGTAATTCATAGGATACGCAAGCAATATAACATGATTATGTGAAACGTCAAGTATATATATATATATATATATAAGCAGGCGGAGTTACTTCTTAATGAGAATTGAAAAAAGGAAATCTAATCTTGAAATGTGTTCAAAAGATGATAAGGTTTGTTCGAGAGCTACAGGCGTTTCATGAAGTAGAAACCCGAACATGGTCATTTTGGTGAAATAAGATGTACGATAAAGAGTAAAAGTACAGAAGGAGGTCTTTTACTGACTTTGATAAGAATTGCATGAGTCAATATCACATGAAGATGTTTCTGCTTTAAAGCAATGGCATAGTAAAAAGCGACATGGATTCGAACAGTAACGGTGGAGGTTTGACAAGTAAAGCAAAATTCAGTACGTATCATTGAACCGCAGAGGGAATCAAGAAGAGTTGCACCGTTTCTACTTCACAAGAGTAGCTGTTTTTGAACAATGAAAGAGCACTTTAAGATGAAAAGTTACTCTAGAATTTCGGGCTAACACTTGAGGAAAAATACAAGAGCTAGAAGTATTAAAGAAAATTTCAAAGTGAGCATTCTCAAACAACGAGTTCTGGTATTCCACCTTATTTACGACACGGTACACACTAAACAAAATATGAAGCAGGTTTAGAAGTATTCAGCAACTGAAAATTTTCTTATAACGTAAGTCTTCAAAAAGAGGCAATGCGTAACTCCATTTAAATTAGAGTTGGTTAGCAATGTGCTCTAAGGAGATATTGGAAGAACTACCAAAAAGAAGGCACTAACGAGGTGAAAAAGGAAATAAAAGAATTAGGTGGCAATTCACTTATAGAAAACCAAAAATATCACAAGATAAAACAGAGTAGTTATTAATTTTTAACGTTTAAACTTAAGAAATTTGATGTTGGATAACAAATTGAGCCAAAATAATATTATACGATACAAAACTATGCAATAAGGAGACAAAGGTCAATAGAAAATTTGCACATTATTTTATCGAGAAAAAGAAACCCAAATACCGAGAGAGGGGGGGGGCGTGTCTGTCGATTACTTTTTGCCATACCTCGCTCAGAGAATGAGATGACATAAGCAAACCAAAAGTAACAATATTAAAAATAGATAATGACATAACACACAAATAAGAACGTTAACGAAATGGCAAAAAAAGCAATAAACCGACTAAAATAGTAAAGTGATCAAGAAAAGTAAAATAGCTCAATGCGTCATTCAGGGAGGCTGGTATATAAACAGAGAGCAAATTGCACAAGATGAGAAATAAAGAAGAAAACGTACCGAGACGGAGAGATAAATCAACATGCTCGGATCAGAGGCGACGAAGAGGTCGTATAGCCGATGAATATCATTTCTATTGGAAAGAATGTGCGTAAACCAAGTGAGAAACCAAGAGAGAGTAAAAAAGGGTTCAAAATTGAGGGCTTGAAATCTATTCCAAATCTTAGGGGATGTCATCTGAAGAAGATCAAATACAAGTTGGAGGTTTTCAGAAGTAGGATCCATTGTCTTTTGCATAAAGACGGTGAAATGTTTAGGTACAAGTTGCTTGACAACAGCGAAGGCATTGTCAGGCCCAAGGACGGAAAGACATGTGTAGCAAATGTCGTGAAAGCCTTGATAGTAATGTAGATCTGGATATTCGGCAAGAATTGACAAAATCAATCGTTTTGTTTCAAGTATTAGAGTTTCCTTTTCTTCTGGCTTAACATCATCAGGGATCATGGAGCCCATTCGGCGGACATCCAACTCAACTTGCTTTGCCTGAGGATGCTCCAAAAGTTTCTGGAGATCTAGAGGGACAATAGAATGACAGAGAAAGGAGGCAAATAAACAATGTTAGACTGAATGTCAATTTACCATAAGAATTTGTACTATCCGTAGATTTAAGTCCAGAGAGTAAAGGCCAGGCTTTGCGTCTGACGTTATCGTTCACAAGGCCGTACCGAGAGAGCGACCAGAAACGAAGTCGTTGAATATCAAAGCCATTTTTAATATTATCAGAAATAAGGTTAGCTTTTTCTAAAAGCTGAGTTTCGAGGGAATCATACAAGTTGGATGACATAAAACTAGGAAGTAAGGGAAAGAAGATATAAGGCACACACTGACACCTATTAGACCAATAAAAATAGGGCTATTAGATGGAAAACATAACCTAAAAATCGATAGTATAAGTAATTTCAGAATGCTTCAGGTAATTTTTTGCACTAAACTTTAAGTAAAATTATTGTACTTGAGGGCGCATTATTAAACAAAGATTAGTGAGATTGCTATTCAAAATGAGCAATTTAAGCTGTAATTCTTGTATTCGTTATTATTTTCAGATTGAAATCATCAAAGTGATTTTTAATATACAACATGATCATAATAGTGGAGCAGTCTAAATTGATCTTCCCGATAACCAAATCTTTAAAAACAGACCTCATAAGAGAAATGGAAACATGAAGTGGTAATTAATGATGTGGTGGTTGTCTTCTTTAGTAATTACTAATATTCAGTATCCATCCTTTTTGACAAAGTATTATATATAATAATAATTTAACTGACAAAAGTTGGCTGAATAAAAGTATTTTGAAAAAATAGGCAAAGAAGAATTTGCGCATATATATTTTAGTTTACGAATAAAAATTAAAGCAGATAGCATATGAGATTTTTATGAAGGTTATAAACATTTGTCTGATTTGCGTCAATGCAATATTATCAAGATAAAATATAAGGGTAAGATAGTAACTAAATAAAACTAATCCATATCAACAACTTAGCTGAAGTACTTAAAATACCTTTAAGTTAATACATTTGCACCACGTTTGTTAGTCCTAACTATATACTAAGGCCAATAACGTTGTTTGTTTAAGCGCATTTTGCGAAAAGTCCAAGGTCTACAGATATGTGCTTATTTCCCTGTCATCTCAAAGAGTGATTTTTCATTAATCTATTATTTTCGAATAAAATACCTACTGTATAAAGGTACGTTTTGTGAATGGAAATTTTACTGATCTTTTGTTGAATAATAATGTCTTTGAAATTTGCTTCTTTGCATTGTTATCATTGAATATTTTTAATGAAATATTATACATTTAATACTTTGTCAGCGAATATTTTTTCAGTTATTACCATGAATTCTTTGGACAATCTTGATTTACCCCCTGCACGTGTTCCGGATTTGGAACGAATTCGTAATGCCAAGCGAAAGAGAGCACAGCAGCTAAAGAGATGGGCCCAATATGATAAGAATATGGAAAAAAAAGAGAAGAAGTTTCGAAGCTCTACATCACCTCCACCAGGATCTAATCTAGTCGGTCGACAGCATCCTGGTTTTGCTCGTCTTGTGCAATTTTCTCAAGCAGTTATTCTTTTGGAAGCAGCTGCTAGGGATGATTTAGATGAAGGTGAGTCTCCTATCTCCCTAATTTTTGTCATATAATTTTTATATACTAATAAGCTGGTGTAAAAATTGGAGAAATCAATATCTATAAAATTATCGCCTCTTTTTTGTAGAAATAAAAATTTTAATTTTCATTCTTATTCGAGTACTTGTTATAATTTTCGGTTCAATACTTTTAACAGAGATCAGTACTATTTGTAGTATATTACCACTACCAATATTCGAATTTAAATTTTATGAGTATTTAACTGAATGCTTTGTTTATCTTTCCTATTTAATTTATCTAGTCTTGTTCATAACCAATACCTATTGTATTCCAAAATGTGTCACTGCACTATTACAACCTTCAAGTTATCTTTCAAATCGAATAAAAGATGATTGAATTAAATTTAAAACATTTTCTTAATTTGTTTCTGAATGCTTTCGATTTTAGTTCTTTGTTGTCCTGTTTACTCTTTACGTATAATAGCATACTTTTCTGTCTGTTACCTTCTCTCGATTTCTTGACAAAGCAATTCCTTGTGCATACGTAATTAAATTTTGTCCCTTCACTACCAAAAGATTTTAATTATTTTTTCAATGTTCCGTGTATTACATTAGCATAACATGTGTGCTTCGACATCATCTTGTAAATTCTGCATAAAGACAAGCATTTTCTACCGTGTGTGGACAGTTCCTAGAATTCGTATTTAGGGGAAATCGAGTTTTCGGATATGGGAAGTTGCTTTTTTAGTGCTCATGAAGGAAGATTCGATTGTTTAAATTGATTTATAAAGAATCACAATCTAGTTGTTTCGTGTAAAGCCGAAGTGTGTGTGATAGTGATAGATTAGTTTGCCAAGTTTTGCATTTCAGGTAATTACATCGATTGATCAAAGCTCTAACTATTGTTTCATATGCGTGCCATCCATCCAATTAATAGCTTTCATAATATTTAAAAAGTCGATTCCATTGATAATCTGTTTGACTCTATGGTATCGACTCAGAAAAGTAGGAAATGGGCCCTACTTACCAGTGCTTTTCTATATGCAAATTAAATCGGTGGTGTGGTGTATATAGACTAAGGACAACCATCGAATAAGCCTTGTCAAATTCCTTCCTTATTTATCCTATAAGCATTCTCTCCTTTTATTTATGATGGGTGATTCTAGGATATTTCCATTTTAATCACGCAATTAAAAATGTGCCTTGATTTTTTGGCTGTTGTAAATCCGTCAACCTCTAAAACAATGTGTGGAGTTATTTTAAAATGGACTTTTGGACGTAAGACAATCACAGTGTGGGTCTTTTCTAAGAAGCATCAATTTTAACTGTATAAATATTATAATAGTCAAAATATTCCTGATATATTTTATTATTAGTAACGTTTGAGGTAGTTATTATTGTTCTGTTAAATTTTCAATGTAGAATATCTGTTTCCTTTGAAAAATTGAATGAAGTATGGGATAATATGCTAACTTTATATTTTATCAAATTACCTTCATTTATTTTTAATATCTATAGTAAATTTTATCAATATAAATTGAATAGTAAATATGCGCACGTAGTAGTGTTTTTTTGAATTTTTCTATTGGTAATAAGGACATTTTGGAAAAAAATCACCCGTCACACTAAAATAACTTGTATTATGATAAAAGGTATCTAAATTACTTATTCATGAGTTAGAGGTGGAAAAACGTTAATTATATTTCGAATTTTATCATTTATTAGATATCTTACAAACTTGTAATCTAACCCACATTTGAAACAAGTAAACGTCCATTTACTATTTTATCTGGTAGTCTCTTATTGTTAAGTATGTCCAAAATAAATCATTCGTTCTGTCAGAGCTCATTGCAGGTGGTTGCGAAGTGATCTTAGGATGTTTTGTTGATGAAATTCCCAAAGTGGTTTTTACTTAAATGTTATATGGTTAATTCAGAATATTTTTGGTAGTCATATTTGTCATCATGGTTTATTGTATTATCCATTGGCTTTTGCAAGTATGCAACTGCACAGGAGTAATGGCAAACAAATTCAGCACGAAATGATTTCTCATCAGATAACTAGGAGGAAAGTGCTGTCTATCTACATGCAAGGAATGAATTTCAATTATTAATATCCTAATTTGTTAGAATTTAATTGTTAGTTAGCGCGTTCTTAGGTGAAATTATTTCTATAATATTCAGAGATTGAAGGTGGCTTGTGTGATTCCGTCGTTTGCTTACCATCTGGATTTATTCGAATTCTTTGGAACTGTGGCAGTTTTTAACAATAATGATAAATGACAGTACTTACTTTTCTGAAAATTATTGGTTTAAGGTAAATGACAACTAGTGTGGGTATGTTGTTCGGTCTGAGAGAAAGTTTGCTGAAGATATTATGAGAGAGAAAGTGCCTCGGCAGAAGGCAGTTTCATTTTTCTATGAAACGGTCTGATTTCCCTACAAAATGAGATTAATCTTGACAACGAGATGTCAATAAGCAAGATTTGTTGTACTATGGAAAATTATAAAATTATAAAAAGTACTAATGGATGAATGTTATTCTGATTCTGTTCTCAATAAATACCTCTTGAGACTGAATTTAATTAATTATAATACAATTGTACTTTTAGATAGTTTTACGCATATAGTTTTGAGCGGTTGTAGTAGTTTTTTCATATGTTAGCTGCACAATCTATGACAGTTTTTAGGTGTCTTACTAGTAGCCATGTCAGAAATTTTAATCTAATTTCAAGTAAAATAGAAGCGATAAGGGCATCAGGGTTTGGCGAAAAGCATAATGATAAAATTTGCAATGCGAACTCAACCATAGTTACTAACTATTTATACTTGAGACTTATGTCTGGCTCTTTTCTTGGAAAGACCAATTCTTTAGACCACAATCTGGTTGTGGTAAATCAGTACTTTAATATTCTATTAAATATCTACCGCAGAGATCGACGTATATTCAATAAACAATTTTATTTTACACAAAGTGCAGCTTTCAATTTGCATTTAGTGAATTTGTCATGCCTCCTCAAATCGGTCCTTTGATCTTTTAATTGAAATTTTGCATTACATATTTAGTCTTAAATGAGTTGATTAATATATTGGAGCTTTTTTAATACCTAATAACAGCTTGTGGTGCTAATGTAGAAAAAATATTGAAATAAATCGGTTCAATGCCAACGATTGGACTGACTGAAAGCACCGGCTAAAACAATACATTAATAAAACTCTAATAACACTGAGGCGAGTTTCCTTGTGGACATTCAGTTTTTCAATCTCCAACCTCTGTGACGAAATATATGTAAATAGTATTTGATGCGAGGTTTGCAATAGTGGCTTACATAGGGGGAAACAGAATACATGATTACAATAATATAAACTAATATAAAACTTCCTTCGTGAAACCCGAAATTTAATTCATTCGTATCGCAATCATATTAAAAGCTTAGTTCAAAACAAACCAAACACTCTCAAGAGTCTTAAAGCAATCAAGTTAAATTAACCCTAATCCTGATGCTGCGGCAACTTTAGAAGTCAAACCAGCTTAGGAAAAAGGTTTTTTAGGAAACTAACAATCTTTTTAAAGCAAACTGGATTTAGCAACCTTTCTCAAGTGAGTAGGCGAAGAATCAAGTAGGACTATTGAAAATGAAGGAGAGAGAGAAGTGAAGAATGAATATGAAGGGAAATTGGAGTTAAGAGGTAAGCGAAAGATGGCTGCTCTGGTTTATAATAAACAGAAGGAACAAGACACCCCCAGAGAAGGAGTCTAGTTTTGTTCTGCGTAAGCTGTTCCGTGATCTTTAGAGAGAGTGCAGACCTATGAGGTAGTATGTGCACTTCAGACTCCCTAATACAAAGGTCTTCAACTGCTAATCAATTCCTAATAGTTCTCTTTTACAGAACGAAATCTTTCAATTTTACTTTCCACGCTTTCAAATGTGATACAAACGCTTAATAAATTGGGTGATAACATACGTCAATGATCTTCTTGGTTATACCTTTCTATATTTTTAGTTCGCAAATTGCTCAGCCAAGGTGTCTGTCCTAACGTAACGAACACAGATGGATTAACGGCACTACATCAAGTAAGTCGACTAATCATTTTACTTTTACAAATTTTATTCTTTAAAATATTCTTTTCTGCGCGCACAAATCGCCTTCCTGAAATTCAAGTCCATTTTAAAATAACAAAAATATTTTTTTTATAATTAGTGATTTTCATATGCTTACCTATATTATCGACAAAAATCAATAATTTTACCCATAACGTTCAAATTAATTCTTGGAAAGTGATAAGCTATTATACAAAGTAATGCTCTGCTAGATTTTTTAGTTTATCAGAATTATTTCAACCAGAAGCACAGGTAATGCTTCATTTGAATGAACTGAATTTCGAGAGCTTACAACTTAACTATTCTCTCTCCCCATTTGGAACCACTCATTTGAAAAACGTCTACAAAATTTTTTCAGCTTGTCTCATCAAGAAAGTTTCTTTTAATGGCATATTTGATGGTGATGGTGATGATGGTATTTACCACTTAAAGAGAGAGGTAGAGAGAAGAGCTTGAATTTCGGGAATTTTGGCATGGCCTATTGACACTTAGTATCCTCGGTTTTGTAAACGATTTGACAATAAATAGGAACAAAAGTATACAATTTTAATCGCATTTTTGTTTAATTAAATGCATACTGCACTTTTACTTAGCCTTTTCTCAAAATGATGGGGTTCTGGGCTTTTTTAGACTGATGTTGCCCAGAAAACACTGGACGCTTTTTATTAAGTATTTCTCTATATTTTTAGCAAACCTCAAACAATGTTGATTACTTGGGTATTTCGAGAGCTTAGGAGTTTAAATGATAACTCACTTAAAATGAAACAAAACAAATCAATGTAATCTAACTGCTATTAATTGTTATCTATTTTTTTCAATGATCTTCCCATCAAAATAAACGTATTTTCAGTCAAGACCCTGAAATATATTGTTTTTGTTTTCAGTTAGTCAAAACAGAACAACGGCAGTCCTTTAAAGTTGAGAACCATTTTAAAAGCCAATCGACACCTATTTAATTTCTGTTCAGATGTCTTGATATTAGCGCGGACACCAGAAGTCTAATAAATAGTGCGTCTGACAAATCGGAAGTCACGGTTCATGGGCGCGCTCTAGTTTTTAAGTTTGTCCAGTGGCCCAGTTATATAAAGCCTTTTCTCAAACACGGGAAATATTGTTTAAATTTTGATTAGGATTATTAGTACCCTAAAGTAATGTAAGAAAATTGCCGTCGATGACTGAGCGGCCTGCGGAGACATAAGCTGAACTTTGATGTTCACCGGTGAACACAATTTGAGCGAAATCCCCCAATTTAAGTCTTGTTAGTAAAGGGGTAAGGGACTACTAATATTTTTTATCTATTAAAATCCCTAATACCGTCATCTAATTATCGTTTGAAAAAGGTTTCATGAATGGTCTTTGGAGTAAATGAAGCCAACGAATAGGTATTCTTGTGTTCCCAGATGCTAGTCCACAGACGTCGATGTTCAGTCAATTGCCTAGGTAGACGATAACATCTAAATACTGATATGATCTTTTTACACCAATAGAAATGGGGGCACGTGCATGCGCCTACACTTAAAACCTTCATTATAGAAGTGCTCAATTCAGCCTTCTAAGCCCTCAGCGAGTGATTATTCATCGATAAGTTGAACGCGAAGTATTTCGCAATTCATACATTCTGTCTGTCGGGTTTTTGCACTGCTAACAGCGCGAGTGAGCGTGAGAACGACGCCATAGTGCGTTTACAAAACGTGTGTCACCGTCGCATATGAGAATGTTCGTGTATATGGGTGGCGTGTGGAGCCTCTCTAAACCACACTCCGACCTTAGTGTCACACGCTATGTGCGAATTTAACGCGTGTGGTTAGTAAGTAGCCTTCTCTCCACTCCAATGTTGCGTTAAATACGTGGTTCTCGTGAACGCTGTTCCAATCTTTCGAATACGTTTCCTAGTCAATTTCATGTTAGGCATCGGAAACTGAATGAAAGGTGTGATTTCATTAGCACTTAAGTGCATTTCCATTAGTATTCGAGCTAATAAAAATCGTTTAATATCAGTAAATTAAACTTGCTCACCAATTGAATATCGAAAATCAATATTTTAACTACCTTTCTCAGTCAGTCATAAAGCTTTGGCATTTAAAAGTCAGAATGCAGTTATCACTCATTGAACTACGAACATATGTTTTAAACACTTTATAATATCGGTGTGTATCACTATAGTGATGGACTATTTTGAAAACGGATTTTCGTGATGCTAAAACTGAAGTGGCACGATAAAATATTCTGTACCACAAAGTAGTTCAGTTTCTGTTTACTCTAATATGTTTTTGGTAAATTTTGTGAGTTATGCCTGATGCTAATTAACATTTACAATTTTTGCTAATGTAATTTCTCTTTCTAATATTGTTCATTTTTAGCACATATAAACATAAATATTAGATTTCATATTACTTAGCACTAATATAAAGTAAGCTTTATTGAATGAGTTTGATTAAATTAAAATATTTCCATTTAGTTAAAGGCGATTTCGGCTACCTTTCGGTAAAATGAAAAGGATAAAAAGCTTTCCTATAAATTTTAAAGCTCCAGATGACTTTAAGATAACATGAACCAGATTTTTTAAAAGTCCGCAACGTCAAAACTAGCTTAGATAATAATGTTATAGATTTTTGACTAAACTTATGAGTTTAGTTTCATTTACTATAGCGTTAAGGATAATTAGATCGTCGAATCATTTTTTTGAAATGTCTAGACTTAAAAAGTTTATTTTAATTTACAGTGTTGCATCGATAACAATCAAGAGATGTGTCGGTTACTCATTCGGTTCGGTGCTGACGTTAACGCTCGAGATACTGAGCTCTGGACTCCCCTACATGCCGCTGCGACCTGCTGCCATGCAGAACTCTGCAAACTCCTAATTGATAAGCAAGTTTTTTAACGTTTTCATTTCCTCGAAAAGTTTACCCACTTTTCCCAATGCTCTGCATTTTATGTCCTTTCTAACTCTTCATTCAATGCCTAGACCTTCTACACACACTTCCGCAAATGTTGCGAGAGTACAGACATTTTTTTAGCTCTATAGTGTGTTAAAGTTAAATTTGTCAACTTCTATTTGTTTGCACCACAATACAGCAGTTGAAGCTGGGTCATATTAAGTATGTTAAGAACCCCATGAACTACTAACCACTAGGTCACAACAGTGGCAAGGACAAAAGGACTGTGTGCGTCAAATTCAAGCTAAGAAAACTCAAAATGCAATTTAAGTTTCTGGATAATTGAAACATATGCAAGTAGACAAAAGTCGTATTGTGCTTTTTTGGCTATCAGTTTGTCATTTAAATTATACATTGCATTCAAATTAGCACACTCTGGAAAATTCTGTTTAACGATGTTTAGCTACGCATTATTGGTATTCTCAATCATCCCACTATTGGAGAAAAAATATTAATATTGATAGAAAATATTTTCCCGAATGTATAGTGTGCCATAATAAAATTATTTGTTTCTTATTAAAATGTGTATTCTATTGGCCTCATGTTTTAAGCATAGTCAGTCAGATGACACAGTTAAGATTTACTTCCTTCGCGCAATGTTGAACGTATTGATTCATTGTGAACGTCTGCCATGGCGAATACCTTGAGTGTGCAAAATCGGTTAGTCGAACAGTCCATCTCAATGATTTGATCTAGTTGGTATAGAAATTGTTGGAACTAGGATTTCTCACTGTAGTGGCACATTGGTGATATTCTTTTCCAAGATGGGTACTTGAATGAGCTTTATTAAATAAATTACTACTATTAGAAACATGAAAGCAACTAACTCGACTCTAGATGTCCTTTACATTTCATTTCCATTTCATCCATGTCGCAAATATCCATTGTTTTAAAGTTGCCTTTGTAAATACAACTCCAATGAAATATATATTAGCTATCTTTTTAACTCAATTCAATCGCAATTCGGTTCTTTCAGTCACTGGCAATATTAGCTGCAATAACACCTTATTTCAAGTCATTATTGCCTAACTGCTACCAAGTTGCCAAATTAACGTGGTCATACAAACGCTGGTGGGTGAAATTAAACTCAGAAAATGTTGCCGATTCTTTAGTTTGTACTAGTAGTAAAATAATCCATTAAAATGGATTATAAATTTAAATTTGTTATGAATTTTGTTTAGCTTAATTCAGCATTCTTAATTATAAAGTGGAGAAATTATCCAATTGGTTCTCTTATAGGAGTTAATCTAAATACACGAATAATATTTTTAAGCAGCTGACGATGTCAGAGCAGTCTTTAATGCGCCTTGATAAGATTAAATAAGTTTTAATTTATATTTTATTCATAACATGTAAATGAGGAGCTAGCATTGATCATCTCAAATTTGGAATATTAAATGGTAAAACATTTCCCCCTTTGAGTAAAGCTCTCATAGTATAGATAATTAAGTTTGAGAGACCGTTTGAGGTTTTACCAATCCATGAGGATTGTTAGAAAGAGAACCTACTCAATGACAACCTGGTATAAACTAGATTTTACCAATGATGGTGTTTTTCATTATTCATAAATTTTTTTTCCCGATAAAAGATTAATCAAACATAATGCTCATTTATTTTGATTTATTTAATATAAACAAATAATTGACCTTGACTAAAAATGTCACTGTTTAATGAAATTACCCTCAAATGCTCCAATGACTAAATGAATTATTTTAATTTCTTCTTAATACTTATCGTATATTCATTAAAATGTGTTTTTAGTTAAATATTTATTTCAAATGGCAGGCGTTATGATAGGTATCATTAGCCCTTTAGTTGACTTCGGGCTTCACAGAAAGGAAGAGGAACATCCAAGTGGTATAAAGTCGAGAGGGGGAAAGAATAATGATTCACGGACGTAAAAGAGACAGACAGACACAAAGGTAGAAAAAAGGTGAGGTGAATACTGTGGAATTATTCGAATAAGAAATGTAATGGGGTGATGGTAGTTTGAAGTCAGAAGTCAACTGCCAGTCAATAGACTTTTTTGTCGTAAGAGTATACGTTGCCCAGAGTGCATCACGTGGAGGTAAGTCTATCGCACACCCCTTTTAGTTAAATATAATATATGCCTTAATTAAGGTAAACTTCTCTCTCCCGCTCTCTAAATTAGACCAAAAAAATTTTTTACCAAAGTTCAATAAAGCGTTCAAAAGTATCCTAGTTTAAAATTCAGATTTCTCATAAATGGAGAATTATCAAAAAAACCCTTTCTATTTTTGGGCCCAAACGAAAATAAATCACCTAATCCAGTGAATTTTCTGACTTGACTATTTTTTGGAATTCAAATCCTATGATCATTAAAAAATTTTCTCTTTTTCCCATTTTGATGATTGTTAGAACGTACATGAATTGAACATAGAAGG